TGGACCCCATTGCTTGGAGGGCGGGCAGTGTGGCCCTGGTGACCCTGGTCTGCTCTGGTCTCCCGCCTCCAGCTCTTCACTGCAGGCTTCCAGGGCTTGGTTAAATGCATCCGGGCTTCCTGCAGGCCCTCTGCCTGATCCAAGAAGTTGGAGGTGACCTGTGGAGCAGCCTACAATGTGGATTCCACCAGGCAGGAGGCCGAGGCTTTCTTGATGTCCTTGCGCTCCAAGGCCAAGGCCAGGGGGACTCTGGTACGTGGCAGAGACCCTGCCCCTCCTTGGGGAGGGCGGGGTGGAGATGGACTGCCCTCGGGACAGGTTCCAGGGACGATGTAGCTCTGTGAACTGTACTTGGACCCCTGCACCCACGTGGGAGACCCAGATACAGCTCTTGGCTCCTGGCTCAACTATGGCCATTGGGGAGTGTAGCCCAAGATCTCTCTCTTCCCTTCTCTGTCGCTCTGCCTTTCAAATAAATTTTAAACAACTAGGGCCGGTGTTGTGTAGTGGGTTAAGCCACCGCCTGCAGTGCCGGTATCCCATGTGGGTGCCAATTCAAATCCCGGCTGCTCCTCTTCCGATCCAGCTCCCTGCTGATGGCCTGGGAAAGCAGTACAAGGTGGCCCAAGTGCTTGGGCCCCTGCACCCACATGGGAGACTCGGATGAAGCTGGACTCTTGGCCTCAGCCTGTCCCAGCCCTAAGCATTGCAGCCATTTGGGGGAGTGAGCCAGCTCTGTCCCCCCCTTTCAAATATTTAAAAATAAGATGGAAATCAATGTTCCCCCGTGAGGACTTCCTCTGCCAGCTGCAGACGCCCTCACAGATCACAGCCTTTCATCCCTGTTACTCAGTGAGGTGGCGCGTGGCCGTTTTCTGATGAACTGGGCGAACTGCCCGAGGCTCACGCTGTGCCCACATACTCTGCAGCCTGGTGGGTGGGGGGCAGGGCCCGGTGCTGCCAACACCCCCACAGCAGAATTTCTCAAGTTCAGGGCTCAGGAGACAGGGAGGCTCTTTGTGTGGGGCGCCTGCGTGTTCTGGTGTCTGGCGGGGAGGAGGAAGGGGAGGGGACAGGGTGGACCAGTCCCTGCGGGCAGGCTTGGGCAGGCTTGGTACTCTGGGCTGCAGCAAAGACTGGGAGCACACAGCCAGCAGCTGAGGTCCACAGCAGTCACCACCTCCGGGCTCCCTTTCCTGTGTGGTGCCCGGGATGGGGTGGGCACAGGGCCTGCCTGCAGAGTTTTCCCCACGGGGCACTTGGACGGCGCAGTGCCTCTGCCCCTGCACAGCCAGGAGCACCGGTCCGTCCTGTCCTGCCCATGGGTGACCTCCTCCGTGTAGGTCATGGGCTATAGGGAGGAGGGACCCAGGCTTGGGGGCCTCAGCCACCCTCCTGATGGCTTGGAGGGGAGGGGCTGGCCTGGCAGCGCTCATGCCGGAAGCATGTTTCTTGGGAGCCTGAGGGAGAGAGGCCCCAGTGACCTCCTCCCCACAGGCAGCCCCGCTCCTGGATTCCTGCTGCCAGTTGAGGGCCTGAGGGGCCTTTCTCAGTACCTTCCATGGGCGGGGGCCGGCGCTGTCCTGGGTGCCGCCTCCTGGGTCCCTCCCCCGCCCCGCCCAGCCCCCACCCCCACTCCCAGTGCTGCCAAGCCACGGCCAAGACCTCATTTCTGCAGGAGCTCGCCTGGGGCCAGGCCTCTGGGGGAGGGGACCCTGTGGCCCCAGCTGCCCAGCCCTGGTCGGATGCAGGCTTGTCCACCAACCATGCCCACTGCCTGGCTGCCCTTGCCACTCTGCTATGGCTGTGTCCGTGGGTGAGGGGGGGTGGGCTGGCCCCCTGCAGAGGCCCGCCCCACAGACAGACTCGAGGGCTGTGACAGGATCCGGTTTATTCTGCCTTGGCAGGGTGGTCCTGAGAGTGGCGGGTGCCACCCTGTCCCGGGCGGACGGAGGGCCCGAGGGCCACTTAAGGCCGATGGCGGGAGAAGCAGGGGGCACGTGGCCCCTGGAATGCGGTGAGGCCAGGCCGAGGCCCGGAGGCAGCTGTGGTAGGCCGGGACAGGGTGCCCCTGCTGCCCAGGGTGGAAGGCACCGGACTGGGACCGGGCCATGGCTGTAAGGACCGTGGACCCAGGCCACACGGGCACCCCGGGGGGAGGAAGCGGGGGCACGGGGACACGGGACACGAAACACAAGCAGAGGCTCACGAGAAAGCACAAAGACAGTGGGCACAGATCCACAGGCCACAGGGACACCCAGCCACGGCCATGCTGGACATGTGTGCATGACGGGGGTGTCAAGTATGGAGACCCCGGGGGTGACATGGCACCAGAGGACACACGTTGGCCACAACAGACAGACCAGACCACAGAGCTTGAGGGACGCGGGGCGGGGGCCTTTTGGCACGAGTGCACTGGAATCGGGCGGAGGGGGTGGGCAGCACCCCACCGGGGGGGCCCCGGGTCAGTCCCCCGCCCCGCCCCAGACTTAGTCCGTCTTCCACACCTTGTTGAGCAGCTTCACCACCTCGTCGTAGATGACGAACACGATGGCCACGTCCAGGCACACACGGCCCAGGCGCGGGACGGTGCCCTTGTAGAACCTGCCGAGAGGGGCGGGGCCGCGTGAGTGCAGGGCCAGCGGAGTGGAGGGGCTGGATGGGGGAGGGGGCTGCAGGGGCAGGGACTGGACAGCCCTGCCCTCCCACTCACGCCTTGAGTCCCTCCTTTCTCAGGATCTGCAGGCCGCAGTCCCACGTGTTGCGGTACTTGTGCGCCTCCAGGCCCTGCAGGTCACCAGCCAGAGGCTCAGCAGCCAGCCTTGGGTCGGGGGCGCGTAGCCCCACCTCCTTCCCAGCCCCACCCCCGCCCCCACCTGCATCCGGGTCTTGATCACGTCCAGCGGCGTGTTCCCGAAGACACTGGCGGCTCCCGCGATGGCGCCGAAGACCCCGGTGATGAGCGGGTTCATGGGCTTGTTGGGGTTGTCGCCTGCCAGGGGGTGGGGACAAGGGGCGCGCGGTCAGGTGGTGGTGGAGGGGGTACCGGGAAGGAGAAGGGAGGCCGCGCTGAGGGCTGGGGGCGCGCACCTCGGTACCAGTTGCGCAGAGACGTCATGACGAAGAAGCGGATGGCCTGGTTGGAGCCCTGCTTCAGCACGGTGGCCGTGAGGCCCTGGTACGTCCCCTTCAGCCCTGGTCAAGCGAGCCCTGGCGTCAGTCCCCCACCTGGGGCGGGGGGGCGGGGGGGATCTGCTGCTGGGAGCGCGTGCCCGTGCCTGGGGCCCCGGGCTCACCTTGTTCCCGCACGATCTCCCTGACCCCGTGGAAGAACCCCCTGTACTTGGGGTTGGGGGAGGTCTGGTCATGGATGAACTTCACCTGCGAGGGAAACCGAGGACGTGGCTGCCGGCCGCCCCGCCCCCTCCGCCCCGGTGCACGCCGGCCCCTCCCCCACCTTGATGGTCTCCATGGGGCACACGACCACCACGGCCTCGGCCACGCCGGCGCCCAGGCCGCACAGCAGCCCGCGCGTGCTGTCCAGCCGTCCCTGCGCGTCCCGCATGTGGTTGCTGAGGAACTCGAACGTGCCGAACCTGGGAGTGGCGGGGACACGCGTGAGCGCGGCCGGGCCGCCGGGCCATCCCGCGCCCCTTGCCCCGCGCCGGGCCCGCCTCACCTGACGGCTGCCTTGGGGATGGAGCCGTAGAGCAGGGAGCTGAGGCCGCGGTACAGGCCCAGGACGCCATGGCTGCGCACCGTCTGCCGCACGCAGTCCCCTGCGGGGGCGGAGGGGGTCAGGGCCGGCCGCCTCAACCAGCCCCGCCCCCGCGGGCGCCCGCGCCCCCTCCTCACCGATGCCGCGGTACCGCGGCGGGTGCGAGCGCTCGTCCAGCTGCAGCTGCGTCTTCACGTACTCGGTGGGGAACGTGATGCAGATTTCGATGCCGCCCGCCAGGCCGCCTGCCGGGACCGGGCACCCGCGTCCTGAGACCCCCGCCCCTCCCCCGCCCTGGACTTTGTCCGGTGCCGCGAGGACGCCGGGCTGGGTCCCCGCGCCCCCACCCCGTTGTCCCGGCGAAGGCGGCAGGGGCGTCCCGCTCACGGGATGGGTACCCCGGCCGCGCCCCCGGGCCCCCCACCCCACCCGCCGGCCCGACCCGGAAGTGGGGCGGAGCCTCGCCGTCCCGGGCCCACCCGGAAGCGGGCGGCGGGGCAGGGGTCCGCGGCCCGGCGGGGCCCACCTGCCAGGATAGCCTTCCCCGGGTGCGTCAGTTTGGCCTTCCCGGACGCGGGCGCGGCGGCCGCCAGAGCGCGGGGTGGTGGAGCGGCCATGGCGCGCGGGAGGCGGGGCGCCCGGGGCCGGCCTCGGGTCCGAGCTGCTTGCACCGGGCGCTCGGTCCGCGGTGCTGGCGGTGCAGGCGCTGGCGGCGGCCGGTTAGGGTCCTGGGGGCGGGGCGGCCGCGTCAGCTCCCGAGCTCCGCCCGGCGTGGTCCGAGCTGGGCCCCGCCCCCGCCCCGCCCCGCGCCGGCTGGGAAACTGAGGCTGGGGCGGGGCGCGCCGCGGCAGGCGTCCGGGCGGAGACCGAAGCACAGCCAATGGGGAACCCGGGCGGGGCGGGGCCCCCGGAGGCGGAGCTGCGCCCGCCGCGAGCTGGAGGTCAAGGTGCAGCTTCCAGAGCGCGCCCGGGCGCCAGGCCAAGGCCGGCGCTGGGAGCTGCTGCTCGGGAGTCCGCGCCCCTGCCGTGCGCCGCGGGATCCCCGGAGGCGGGAGCGGCAGGCCTTGCCCCAGACACGTGGAGCCAGCCCCGCCGCTGCCTCGGGACACTGGCTGCGGGGTTCAGAGCTGCGTGCAGAGAGCACCGCACGTGGCGCCGGCTGCTTTCTCCGGCAGCTTCTCGGGCAGACGCAGGTCCCCCGTCCCCGGGGAGGTCCTAGGCTGCCAGGCCCTTGCGGTTGGCCCCAGCCCCTCCCGCCCGCACCAGCACCAAGCGGAGAAGCTTTTGCCTTGATAAAGCGGCTTTAATATTCTTGACGGGCAGGAGGCCCAGAGCCCTGTGGCGAGGCCTGCGATCTCCACCCGAGTGTCCATGTGGGTCTGCACAGCGGCCTGCAGGGGGCGGTGAAGGGGGCGACTCGCCCTTAGCCTCCAGGAAGCTCCCTGGGGGTGCCGGGCTCCAGCCAGAGGGCCTGCAGGCAGAGGTCCGGAGCCTCGGGGCTGGCTGGCCTGCCGCTCAGGAGTCTGCCCTGGCCTCCCCTGGGTTCCCGGATGCGCCTCAACAAAAATAAATAATGTCCAGGTGTCCTTGCCCCCCATCAGGGTCCTCTGTGCTTCCAAGCGACACTCCTGGAAGAGGTTAACGACGTGCGACTGGCTACACACTGAAGCCATACACGGGAGGCTGGGAGAAGGCAGGAGCGGCAGCGTATCCATAGGGGAAGCTGGCGGGGGCAGGAGAGGCCGCGGGGCCTGCCGTCAGCATCAGCTGCTGGCCTGCAGAGGAGAAGCTCAGTGAGCAGCGTCCCGGGGCAGCCCTCATCACCCAGGGGTGGAGGCGTGGGCAGAGCAGGTGCCTGGAGGCGACGGAGCTGCTGTGGGGCCAGCCAGAGGCCGGCCAGGCTAGCGGGCAAGCCTGTCACTTACATAGCTCAATCAGCTGGGTCTCATTCATGCCCATCAAAATCTAAAAAAACCAGATCAACATTAATGGGGGTGGCCGCACTGGCAGGAGACGGGCCCAGCGGCGCTCACACCACACCGTTGGGCCTTGTGAGCCCCACAGCCAGCCAGCCAGCTCAGGCCCCAAGGCCTCTCTAGTTTGCGCCCCCACCAGGCCATCCCAGCTGGGCCCCAGCCAGGCCAGTGACTTGTGCTGCCCAGGCAGGCAGGGAGGGACACAGCAGCAGCGCCAGCAGTGCGGTTGGCAGTACCTCCACCTGGAAGCAGGTGCTCCCTCGGAGCCGGGAGGACAGAGGCAGTACCATGTTCCTGGACACACTGCCCTCCCACCTGGCGGCCGGCAGCCCCCACCCACCTGTCCCCATCAGCCTCTGAAGGCCCACCCCCCACCTACCCAGCACAAGCGGGGCGGGCTCCACCATGCGCTCCTCTTGCTTGCGCAGACTGTCCCAGGCATCCAGTTTGTCCACCTGCAAAAGAGGCGGGAGCACGCTCACTGCCCACCTGACCGAGTGCCAATCTGGGCCTCCAGGTGAGCGCAGGATGGGCGGCCAGGACACAGAGCTCCGGGAGAGGCGGCGCTAAGCACGTGCCTGGGGGACAGATGCCGAATGGCCTGCTCCGCACCCCAGCACACAAACCAGGATGAGGTGAAGCCCCAGCTGCTGACCCACCCTGCTCTCCCAGTGGGCACTGGGCCCCAAGGTGCGCTGAAGCAGTGGTTGGTGGCTACAGGCTGCCAGTGTGGCCTGGCTCCTGGGGACTCCTCTGGACAGAGACACCATTGCTACCAGTGCTGCCCCCACGCACGGCTGCTCCTGCAGTACCCACTGAGAGGGCGGGGACCTGATGGAGGCAGTCAGCATGGCACTAGCGAGGCTGCCAGCAACTGTGAGTACAGGATTCTTCCAGACGAGCACTGAGGACTTAAGGACAGTGCTATGCCAGCCACGGGCCAGGGCCGAGGAGGAGGGGCGTGACGGGGCCTGTGGTCTGGCCTCTGCCTGCAGCTTGCTGACTCCCACAACCAGGTGTCAGCTGGGCCAGCATGCTCCCTTCACCCAGAGCACCAAGGCAGCTGCTTCCACAAGGGATGCCGTCCTGTCTGGGTCCCTCATCCCCACAGGTCTGCTATGTCAAGCCTGCAAGACCCCCCGCTTCAGCTGAGAACCAGCCCACACTCCCGCACTGTTGACCCACAAGCCTCTCACTGGCCCCTCCTCCTCCAGCCCCCTTCCTGCTCCAACAGGCAAGAACAGGAGGGCAGGTGCCATGGTAGCCACCACGTCCTTAGGTACTAGTGGAGGTTTCTGGAGACCCTGAGCTGACGCCGGGTTACCTGTGTGCTCACAGCACTGACCAGCGCCATCAGCCACGGCGTGCCAACCCCTGCGGCAGTGACCTCGCGGAGGTCCGAGCGGGCCCAAGGTCCTCCCGTGCTAACCCACGGCCTCTGCTGCCAGGAGGAGCTTCCAGCCACACTCCCTTCTTTCCGCACAGCCTCTGAAGAGACCGCATTCAGGTCAAGAGGCCCGAGGATGGATAAGAGCTCACCGTGACAGCAGTCCCAGGGCAGACTGCGCAGGGCACCAACACCTCCTGCGGGGAGCTGTGGTCTAGTGGGTTGAGGAACCAAGGACCCTGGCGGCTTGTGCAGCGCAGGTCTGCATGGCCAGAGATGCCATCGTCCCCTCACACTCACCATGCTGTGTAGACAGGACTGGGCCACGCCCCTGAACAGCTTCTGGGATGGCCCTCGCCACGGGCTGAGCAGCCCCCCAAAGGCTGGGCCAGGTGGCACCAGGGCAAAGCTGGGGCACTGGCCTCCCCTTCCTGCTCCTTTCTGTACTCCACGCTAGACTGGGAGGCTCCTCCTGCCTCACACAATGGCAGGTAGCCTTAGCACAAAGGCTATGTGTGCCTACCTGCTGCACAGGTGGCTGGGCAAGCAGGTGCCTCTTCCACAGTGCTGGAAACCACATGGGGGGCTGGCACTGTGGCATAGCAGGTAAAGTCGGAGCCTGCAGTGCTGGCATCCCATATGGGTGCCTGTTTGAGTCCTGACTGCTCCACTTCTGATCCAGCTCCCTGCTGTGGCCTGGGAAAGCAGTGGAAGATGACCCAAGTGCTTGGGCCCCTGTACCCACATGGGAGACCTGGGAGAACTCCTGTCCTGGCTTTAGATTGGCTTGGCTCCAGCCATTGCAGCCATTTGGGGAGTTAGCCAGCAGATGGAAGATATCTCTCTCTCTCTCTCTCTCTCTCTCTCTCTCTCTGGCTCTGCCTCTCTGTAACTCTGCCTTTCAAATAAATAAATAAATCTTAAAAAAAAAAAAGAAAAGAAAAAAGAAACCACATGGGCCAGACAGGCCCCTGGACAGTAAAGCTGGGTCCCACACAGTTCACTCCAGGACTCTACCCTACCGACGCCGTCACTCAGCGGGGTGTGCAGGGGAAAGGACTCGGTGTGCTCAGCAGTGGGGTCACCACCAAGAGGTTTGCCAGCTGCTGTACCCCCAACGCTGCTAGCGGCCCTCAGGTGAGACAGCCTTGCCCAGGGGGCTGTGTGCGGGAGGCGCCATCGGAAGCCGACGTGGCAGCCGGCACCTGTCATGTTCCTCATGGAGCCTGCGGAGCTCCTGGCGAGGGGTGGGAAGTACTCGGTTCTACTCAGTGCCCGGTGAGTCTCTACAGGATGCTGGTGCTGGGCAGGGGAGAGGCTGTCCCCCAAGGCAGGCGAGGGTGGGGTGGGCCACATGGGCCGGTGTCGGAGGGGCTGCGGCCAGGACTTACCTTGCTCAGGTACTCCCTCATCACCTGGATGAAGTAGGGCATGGCGAAGTCCATGAGGTTGTGCCTCCAGGCCAGCTCGAGCACCACGTCCGGGTGCAGCAGGTCGTAGCAGGTGAAGAGGGAGGCTGCAAAGCACTCCCGCCTGCCCTCCTCCAGGAACCACTGCAGCAGCTTTGTGGCCAGCTCGGCGTCCCGCGACTCCGCCGCGTGCTGCATGGCGTCCTGTGGCCAAGACGGATGCTCAGCGGCATGGCCTCGGCAAGCAGGCAGCGAGGCCTGGAGCCTGCAGGGCGGCGAGGGCAGCCCTTGCTGCTTCTGAAACTCTGCCCTCCAGGGGCTATGAGCAGGGACCAAGCCTGGGCCTCTGGGGCTCTGCGGAACCTGTCCGAGGTGGCATGCCTGGTGCACGCGCCTGGCGATGGGGTGAGGGCTCTGCCCTGGGGCCAGTGTCCTCACAGGGAGGGAGGTGCAGGCCACCAAAGGGGGCCCAGGCCCTCGGCTCAGTGTGCAGTAGTGACGAGGGGTGCAGCTGGTGCTTGAGAGACGGTGACCAGCTTGTTCGGCACTGCAGCCTTCAAATTCCTAACTGCCGCTTTCATACCTAGAAATCTGCTCAATGACCCCCGCGTGGTGACCAGCCCTGAGACACAGCGTGCTTTCTCCTGCCGGCTGGGCTTGCTCACCAGCCTCCAGCACAGCCCTCTGCCACGTTTCCACTGATGGGGACGCTGAGACCTTGAGATGGAGCCTGAGACAATCTGCCCACTGACCGTGCTGTGTGCTCTCAAGGGACAAGCCTGGGGGCGGAGCGGTCCTCGCCCCACATGCCCACCAACACAAGCATCTGAGGTCTGCTCTCGGGACACCAAACATACCCTGTGCGCCAGCTCCCAGGAGAGTACACCCGCACCTCGTGGCCAAGTCCTGGTTTGTCCCCGCCCTGTCCCTAGCAAAGCACATCTGGATGCTTTTTTGTGGCCACAGTCGGCACAGACTCAAGGGAGAGCTGCAGGGGCCTGCAGGGGCAGCACCTGGTCACAGCGGTCGTCTCCCGTGTGTCCTCCGCCCAGCTGGCCCACCCTGGAGCGACTTCTCTTCAGCCCGCCTGGAAGTGGGCATCTACCTGCCCGTCTCGGGTCTCCCAGAGCTTTTGTGCTCAGGACCCGAGTCCCGCTGCTTGCTGGCGGCTTCCAAGAGGACTCCCCACACCCACACCAGCCGCCCAGGGGAGCTCTCCCTCAGCGTCCTGCATCTCCACCTGGAGCCAGCCTGCATCTATCCCATGACCCCCTGTTATCTCAGACAGCCCTCAGCCTCATCCTCGTCCCTCTCCTCTCAGACCATGGCCTGCGCCTCCACCCCGGCACCCTTGCCACTCACGGCCCTCACGGTCCCTTGTCTCGTGCCTCGTGCACAGTGTACACATGGTGGTGGCCAGGCTGACCCCACCCCAGTGCTCTCTCAGCTGCCACAGCAGACCCCGCCCTTCTCCAAGCTCAATTCCAGCCTTCTGGAAACACTTCTTCCTGTCACTCCTTGCATGAGTCGCTGACCTGGCCACCTTCTCCCAGGAGGACTCCTGGCTTGAGCTCTGCTCCAGGGCAGGCTCCTCCAGCAAGGCGGTGCCGACACACGTGGGGGATCAGGGCGCACTGGGGCTCCTGAACAATGTCCCCAGCCCCCACCTCCTGCACGCAGCAGCACCATACTCAGTGACAGCCAACTGTCCCCAGGGGCTCCATGTTGCCACAGGCTGGGAACCACCGACCTGGGGGCAGGTGCTCAGCCACTTTCCACCTGTGGCTCTGTCCTGCTTGTGTCCCTTCCGCGCTGGCTGGAAGAGGCCAGCCCCGGCAGAACTCACATCACTGCTCACTCATCACTGCCCGGTGACGAGGCTGGCACCACGTGAACAGGACAGAGTGGCTGCGACCAGCCGGCCAGGCCCCTGCTGTTTGGCCTCAAGAGCTTAGGCAGCGTTTCTTCTCAGTCCCCTCTGCATGGGCCTGGTTGGCCTGCAGGAAGGACCATGAGCACGATCACCAGAGGCTGGGAGACGTCACGAACAATCCGAAACAATCCCAAACACTGCAGGTGACAACCTGGGGGCAGGCTCACCATGAGGGATCAACGGCTTCAACGGGGCTGGAGCTGCAGCCCAGGTGCCATGGGAGTGAGCCCCTACCCGTGTCCTGGGAAGACGCTCAGGAACGCCCAAGGACAACTCTAAGGAGTGAGACCCTCAGGCCAAGCTTACCACCTGCTGGGAGCTTCCGGGGTCTCCTGGCACACAGAGCCCTGGGGTGCAGCTGAGCCACACAGCAATCATGACTCTACATGGCACATCATGACCTCACATGCACACCATGAAGTCACAGAGCACATGACCTCACACAGCACACCGTGAACTCACATGAACTCACACAGCACATCATGACACCACACAGCATACTACATCACATAGCACACCATGACCTCACACAGCACAGCATGACGTCACACAGCATACTATGATACCACACCACACATAATGACCGCACGACACATCATGATGTCACACAGCACACCATGACCTCACACAGTACCTGCAGCACGCTGACATTGCATGGCACACACAGTACATCATGACCTCATCTAGTATGCACAGCACGTGACCTCACATGGCACAGAGAGCATGTGGCCTCACACCACCGCCAAGGGCCCTCTTGTGCAATTCCGCCTTGCCCCACTGGGACACGGGCATGCCTAGCAGAGGATGGGTCTGGCAGCCTCCCTGGGCAGCCCAGCCTGACCAGCAGGTGCCCAGATCCGCAGCTGAGAGCAGTGCTAAGCCACCTCTCACTGGCTGAAACAAGTGTTTTGAGTGTGATTTAAATTTAGGTGTTTTAATCCCCGAATCTCGACAGGAAGCAAAGCAGCGGCAGAGAAGAGGGCCCTGCTGCTGTGTCTGGGTCAAGCGAAATCCCACCTAACTGCTGGGAGAGGCGGCTCCATGAGACTCCGAAGGGTCCTACAAGTTAAATACCCTTCGAGGTGCTCCTGACCGAACCCAAGCCCACTCCACGCTCCAACAATGGTCCCCTCCACCCTGCAGGAGGCCCTGGGAGGGGAGGCAGGCCGGGGGCCTAGCAGGCGGCGGGGTGGGGCCACCGACCTTGTAGAGGTGGTCCTTCTTGCAGAGCTCCACGCTCTGGGCCCAGCGGTTGCTGCCCTTGTACAGACAGGCAGCGATGCGCCGGAACTCGATCAGCTGGTGCTTCTCCAGCCGCTGGGCCAGGCCAATGTTGTCGAAGTTGTCATAAGCATCAATAGAGGCCCTCAAGCCCTGGGAGGGAGGAGGGTATCAGCTGGTGCCCCTGCCCCTGCCCAGGGCCACACACAGGCCCCTCTCCCGTGGCGAGCAGACCCCGTCTCCACACCTGATAGTCCTCCTCGTCAGTCAGCAGCTGGTTGAGCGCCTCATTCACGCTCTTGTTGTTGTGGCTCTGCACTGACCGCAGGTAGGGCTTCACCAGGGGCAACTGGCCCACCTGCCAAGTCAGGAAAGGGGCTCAGCCACGCCCATCCCCCGAGACACACTGACAGAGGAGCAGAGGCATGTGGGCCAGCTCCAGGGCCACAGGACATCTTCCAGACACCCGGGACCAGGGGACTACACACAGCCTGCAAGGCCGCTGGTCACCAGCCACCAACTCCATCTGAGGGCATTATGGCTGGAATGCAGAGCTGTATCTGAAATCTGGATCAGTTAAATCTTGAGTTGGCTGGGGATCAATCTGGAAACTGTTTCTAGGGGCCTGCCGCACTCTCCTCTGGTCATGGGGTTCTTACCTTTGCAAAGAAACCCACGGTGCGGGTGTGGTCCAGCCGGGGCGACAGCACCACCAGCAGGTCATTGATGAGCAGGGGCTTATAATCCAAGTAGAACTGCAGGGCTTTGTAGTACAGCTCCACGTTGGCCACCTGCATGGGGCAAAGTGGAGGGTCACTCCTGGCCCGGTCTCCAGGCACCCCCTGGCTCCCCTTCACTGCCTTCCAGTTCCTACTCAGATGGCACCTGACTCATGAGGACTGCTGTGCCAAGCCCACGAGACCCAAGGCCTCGAGGACCTGCCACCCACCTGTGGGCTTTCTGCTGACATGGGCATCATGTAACACACTGGCCAGATACGCTGCGCCCTCCCTTCATAGGCAGGGTTTTGTGTCCTTCCTCACCCCAGCATCTGGCCCAGGACCTGACGCAGGGTCGAGGCTCAGTCAGTATCTGCTGAATGAATGCATGAGGTATCCTGAGCCGGTGACCCAGACACCTGTTGTGTCCCCATTGCGTTAGAGGCAGCCGCCTTGGCTCTCAGACCCTGGATGAGGCTGTTGGCCCGGACAGAGCAGGCACCCGTGGCTAGGGCTGGGCCAGTCTGGGCAGACCCTATGTTGACAGGAAGGCGCCTTCCAGGTTCCAGAGTTGGGCAGGCTGCTGTGCCTTTCCATGTTCCCCGCTGGTCCTCATCATCACTCTCCTGCTGGGCAAATTGCTGTCTGCAGCACTCACGGCCGCAGCCTTTTACACAGCTCTGCTCTGCACGACAGAGGCGGTTACTGCCATGCGGGAGGGCACAAGCCTAGCCAGTGTGACACACACAGAGGTCCAGGTCCAGCCACCCGCACAGGGCAGGGCCAGTGCCACAGCCGTCCCAGGGGGCGGGGGTGGTCATCCACTGGTGCCTCCAGCAATGTTGGGTTTAGGGGGCCAGTGCCTTCTGCAGACCAGCAGGTGGAGGCAGAGTGCCCACACACTCCCTGTGGTTTGGTAACTTCAGTCTTTTTTCCTTCTCCTCCTCTGCTATAGGGTTCAGCACCAGCACAGACTCTGAGGACCTAGGACCTGCCTGAGAGGCAGAGCAGTGACCTGGCCCCATGACAAAGCTTCTCCGGGCACCAGCCAGACCCACCCTCTGCCTATTGTCTGCTGTGGGCACATTTGCATTTCAGCACTGGGACCTGTCGCCCTCCTAGGTTCCTCCTGAAGGATTCCACTCAAACGTCTAATACACAGAAGAGGCAGTGAGAAGGTCATGCAGGGTGGAGGAGCGTGGGCAGGGCTGAGGTCCACCTTCTGGGGCAGTCACCACCTTGACCACCGTGAAGCCCCACTGGCTTCACCCTTTAACAACACGGCTCCCCGGCACTGCTGTGGGATGAGCAGAGCACGCACCAGCAGAGCCCAGGCCGGCAAGGTTCTCCGTGCTGGGCTGTGTGAGCTGGCCGAGCTGACGGTGGTGGTCAGTGGGGCTGCGCATCAGCAGCCCTGCTCTCTCCTCTGGGCATCTGGCACAGAGGCTGTGCTCAGCCCCTTTGCACAAGTCCATGTGGCATGGGCAGTGCTGAGACCTGTGGTTGACGCGGGTCTTTGCTAAGCTGCTGGGAGGTGGAGCCTCTGTCACCCGAGGATCCAGTGGGCTTCTGGGAGCCCACGTGCAGCATCCAGTGCTTCCATCTGGGAGCACTGTGCTGTCCTCTGGACCCACCCTGTGAGACAGCCCAGGGCAAAGCCGCTGGCCACGCCCACTTATGCGGGTGGTGAGGACGGCCAGCATGGGCCCCTGGGGGACAGGGTAGAATCCTGACAAAACTGAGGCTTGGAGACTTGGTCATGAACTCCAGGGTGACCAGCTGGCTCCAAATGAATGTATCACATGACCTGTGAGAAGCCCCTACTGTTGGGGCCGGCGCTGTGATATAGCAGGTAAAGCCGCTGCCTGCAGTGCCGGCATCCCATATGGGCGCCGGTTTGAGTCCCGGCTGCTCCACGTCTGATCCAGCTCTCTGCTATGGCCTGGGAAAGCAGTAGAAGATGGCCCAAGTCCTTGGGCCCCTGCATGTGCATGGAGACCCAGAAGAAGCTCCTGGCTCCTGGCTTCGGACTGGCACAGCTCCAGCAGTTATAGCCATTTGGGGAGTAAACCAGCAGATGAAGACCTCTCTCTCCCTCCCCACCCCTCTTTTGCCTCTCTGTAACTCTGTCTTTCAAATAAATAAATAAATCTTAAAAAAAAAAAAAAAAAAAAAAAAAGCAGCCCCGGCTGTAGGCCAGGTTTCCGCCATCGCTCATTTGGTAATGAGGAGCCACTGCATCCTTTACCAGTGGGACCACTGAGGGTCAGTGCAGTGACACTGTGGCCCACAGGGACAGCAAATGCCAGAGGCAACAAGCCCTGAGCGTCACAGCAGTGACACTGGTCCATGGTGACAGACAGCAAGTGGACGAAGCGACTTGCCAGCTCTATCCAGGCCAGCAAGGCCCTGCTCAGCCCCTGCCACCACGCAGATTCCAGAGCACGTCTCCCACGTGCCCAGAACGCAGACAGACTGTCATCACTCCGACGGCTCCAGTGCCATCCGGCCGCCTTCCCGTGTGGGCTGACAGGACTCCTTCCTGCGTGGCAGAGTGGCCAGAAGCATTACGCATGGCACCAAACAGGACCTGGTTGTCAGCCCGTCCAGCAGCACCAAGATGCTCTCCTCTCCCACACAGTGGGGCTCATCAGTCTCCCTGCCCCCATTATCTGATGTTTGCTAAGAGCAGAAAGCACAGCCGCTTCCACAGAGGAGGAGGGTCAGTTTTAAAATGCACTGCGGTGTCAGGGAGTATGAAAACAGCACATATGGGCTTGCCCAGGTGTGGATTTCCCAGCAGGTGGGGGACGACCATCCCACCGGCAACCCCCCACTGACCCACGGCTGGGCTGGGCGCGACGCCGCCCTGAGGCCGCTGACTTCACACATGCAGGAGGCATGGACATCGTGCCCCGGGGAAGCCCCTGGGGTTGGACCTGGAGGACTACTCCTTCCAACAGCTCCCAGAAGAGCTGGAGGCTGAAGGCCTCGCTCTGCAGCCCACCTGCTGCCCACGCCCACCTCGGTGACTGCGCTGCCATCCCCAGCCCCTGCTTGGCATGGCAGGATGGGGGCGCACTGAGTATACTTCTTTCCTGGGCAGACAGTGGAGGGGAGGGGCTTGTGGCAAATTATTTACCCCAGTGTCGGGGAAAGAACGAGGAAACTGTGGCTTAGCGGTTTAAACTGCCACTTGGGACACCTATGTCCCACATTACAGGGCCTGGCTCTGAGTGCGACTCCAGTTTCCTGCCAATGCAGGAAGGCAGTGGTCATGGCTTATGTAACTGGATCCTTGTCATCCTAGCAGGAGACTTGGATTGAGTCCTGGGCTCCTGGCTTTCGACCGGGCTCACTTCCAGCTGTTGCAGGCACTGGGGCAGTGAACTGGCAGATGGGGCGGGTAGGGGGCAGCAAGGAGGGGCAGGCAGAGTCTTGGGGCCACAGCTGCACTCAGTCCTGTCTGCAGCCTGCCTGGGAGGCCCTAGATGGGTCGCCTGCCCTTTCTCCATGTCAGTCTCCTTCATGCAGACGGACATAACCCCTTGCCCAGAGCACAGTGAAACTCACAGGAGCTGCACATGCATGAGTGCAGCACACAAGGGGCCCACACTGGCGCTCGTCACACCCCCACCCTGCCCTCTGTGCCCACAGCAAGGCCCAGCAGACCCAGGCTCTGTGTCCCCTCTTACCTTGGCAATGACGTCCTTGAACTGACCTTCTTTCCAGGCCTCTGTGGGGTGACTGATCATGGTGAGCACGGCGTTGTCGTACTCTTCGTACTTGTCGTACAGGAACACCAGCTCTGCCCAGAGGTGCGCCTGTTCCGCGGCCCTCAGCACCTGAAGGGGAGGCGGGGGCGCGGTCAGCTTGTGCCACGGTCTGGCTCGGCGGCCAGGGCCGGCGGAGGCACAGATACCTTGGGGATGTTGACGCGGGACCAGAAGAGCTCCAGGTGTTCTGGCATCTTCTGCGGCTTGAACTTGGAGTAGAGGATGGCCAGCTCCGTGAACATGCCCATGTGGGCCCGCTCCAGGCCCAGAGCTGCCTCCAGCAGGGAGATGAGCTCCTCAAAGTAGCCGCGATCCTGGCAGGCCAACAGGCACGTGTGAGGCAGAGCCGCGGCCACCCTCGACCAGGGGCGGGTGGTCCCTGGGCAGGCACCATGTGCGTGCTGCACCGGGCCATCTGGCTGGGCGACTGGTTGGGAAACTTGGACCATTACCACGCTGGCAAGGGGCGCAGCTCACTGAAAACACTCATGTTAGCAAGTACAAACTCGTGTTGCCATTTTTATGAAAAAAAGCGTGAAACCAATCAAGTAGGCAATGGGCTGACAGGGCCCAAGGATGCTGAGCTCTGAGCTCTGTCCTCACAGCTCACTCATTCTGGGGCCTTGAGCCCCTGTTAGGACGCCAACCCTCTGTCCCCTGTGTGACGTGTCCCCCAGGGTGATGGACAGCCCCTTGCATTCAGGTGCAGCTCTCCTCTGTCCCACTGCCCAGACAAGGGCCCAGCCCTGCTGACTGCCTCTCTGCCTGTCAGTGGCCACTATGGAGGGCCCATCATCAGGCCCTCTCTCAGGATCCCAGTGCTCCCTGGCCCACCCCTGCTGCCTGTAGACCCAGGACCACCCCCACTCACCCCCGAGGCCTCTGTTCCCACAGCCTCCCTGCCCTCCCTGCAGCTGGCTTCGGCATGCATCCCCTCCTGCTCTGTGCCCGTGACACCGTCTCTGGGTCCTGGGTCCGCTGCCAGCTGCTCCCCCTCTGGCAGCACAGACCCCTCAAGTGCATTGCTCTGGGCCTCCGCAGGTTCTCTGCAGCCCACCTGGTCAGGCTGGGACTCGCCCTCAGCACTCCCGGCCACCAGCAACCTCTCCCCCAATGCTTCCACCCAGCACCTGCCCAGCACATCTGTGAGACCCGGTGCCTCCTGGGCCCTCTCACTCCCACTGCTCCTTCCTGTCTTCCTCGGCCCACTCATGCGGGAGGCTCCAGGGTCCAGTGTTGCCTCCCTGCCACCTACACTCCGCCCAGCGGATCTCTCGCAATCCCGTGTCTTTAGATGCCACCTGTCAGCAGCTCCCCTTTTACCTCCCCAACTGGGCTCCTTCACAGAACACTAAACTCTATTTCTAGCTGCCTGACACGCCCATCAGAACAGCCAATCAGCAGCTCCCACCAAGCACACGCACCACGCCTAATTCCAGGCTCCCCTTCCAGCACTGCCTGCCTTTGGCCTGCTGCCATGCCACCGATGGTAACCACAGTTCTGCTTGTTCAAGCCCCAGGGTGGTCCTCGATTCTTCTCTTACCCCATGTCGAACCCACGAGCCTTTTGGATTGCTGCACATTCAGACGCACCTCAAACCTGACTGCATCCCATCCCCGTATCGCCACTCCCTGCTTGGTCAGCCACCAATCTCCAGCAGCTGGCACAGCCCCAGCCCTGCCCCTCCCCACCCGCCTGCACAGACCCTTTAAGGAACTCCACAGCTGGATCCCACTCCAAGCACAGGCCAACTCCTTCGGAATGGCCGGGCACCATCCACCCTCCCTCCTCTATGGCTCCCACCTTAGGATGTTCTCTGGCTGGTGACCCTTCCCTCAGTTGGCCCCATGACCACGTTCTCAGTTTCTTCAGGTCTTTGCTCAAATGTCCTCCTCTCCATGAGCACGGCCCAACAAACCCTTGTGAGTTGCCGCTGGGCACTCCAAGGCCCCCACACCCATGCCATCTCCCCTGGAACTCACCACCTCCAAACACATGGTGTCACTGGTTGTCAGGCCTGTTGCTCATCTGCCAACCTTACTGAATGCAACAGGGGTACTTCTGCTTCATCTACCGATACGCTTATTTAGAATCATGCCCAGGACTCGGCAGGTGCTCAGATACTCGCTGAATCAATGAGTGCTTCCAGTGCGGCCTCGGGGCTGCCTGTTCATGGCCTCCTGTCAGCTTTACGGTTCCTTTCTCAAGCTCTGCGCGACAGCATGGCTCTTCTCACTGCCGGGGCCCCAGCTCCATGGCAATAGCAACGCGGCTGAACAAAGCCAAGTCCCAGTCTGCCTGCACTGACCTTACCAGTGTGCCCCACGACAACGGTGTGCCCAGCCCACGCCCGCACGGCCTGACTGCAATGGGAACCCAAGGACCACCCGGGGGTCCCTCTCGTGCTGGTGATCCACAGCCAGGGCATCTGAGGAGCTGCACACTGTGGGGAGCTGGGGTATGGGTGGAGGGCTCTGCCACCTTGCCTGGTGTCCCCAGCAAGGTCTCCACCGAGGGGCTTCAGAAAGCCCCAGGACTTCCACAAACCTAGGGACAACACTTTGCACGTGCCTCCCACAGGCACCGCACAGGCACCGCGCCATGAGCTCCACATGCTGAGGGAGCAGGACCCCCTGGGCTCGGTCCGCCCCGACCAAGGGTGAGTCACCTGGTAATATTGTATCAGGTCCTCCAGCTCGTCTGCATGAATGACGATGTGCAGCCCACACAGCTGTGCAAGACGGAATTCCTGTCCGTCCACGCAGGCAAAGCACACCTGGGGGAAGGAGGGGCTGGGTGAGGTGATGGGACGCAGCACCGCGGCGGCTGGCCGGTAAGGCGTGCAGCCGCACGCTGGGGACTTCCAAACTGGACCCTGAACAAGTATGAGTGGGCTTCGAGCGACACACAGAAAATGTGTATTATGAAAACACTATGCCATGCAGTTCAACACTTGCTGCACCAAGACAAACATCTCTTCACTTCCTTTCTTCCTCCACACCTTTTGAAGCCTCCTCATCTGACAGTTGTACGATGAGCAGAGACCAGGAGAAAAACAAATGACATTTGTCACTCAGTGGGTATTTGGGGCCACAGGAAGGAAGGCGCTCATGCATTATCGCTGGGGCTGAGCAGTGCAGGTTGCCTGGTGACAGGAAGGCATCTAGACTCCGGCTGGGGTGCCAAGCATCTCTCAGAAGCAGAGCTGAAGAGCGGCTACTACCTGAGCAGGCTCCTCTGGGCGTGGTTTATTCGGAGGAGACCATTTCAGTTCTTCGCTACGGAACCAGTTTAATGCACGCCACCACATGTGCACCTAGGACCTGCCCACTCCCTGCCACAGCTGGGTCTCTATGCAGACTTCCCAACCTTCTAGACACAGCCCATGCTCTCATGGGGGTAAAGTGGAACACGCAGATTGGCCACAACAGTCACGTAACCCAGGGGGCGCTGAATGGAGCTGTGACCTCTGGTTCGCGGCCAGAGCTCTCACGCCCGACATGGAACTGCATCACACATTCTGCCCGGTGATCGACTTCTCACCCTGCAAACAGCTTTCCTGCACCTGCACCTATCATCTGGAATAGCAGGGTAGCGTCACAATGTGCACACCAGTTGACCAAGGCCTTGAGACAGGACATTTGAACTGATTTTAATCTTTGATTAAGCAGCGCTTAAGACTGAGGCCCACTCTTTGGCACATCTTTTCACAAAGCATTTTCTACTTAAAAGAGGATTCTGATATTACTAGAGAGCCTCAAGACAACCTGCCCCCATCAGTCTGTTATAAACGACTAATAATGTCAGCTGACACTCATGCTAGTAATGAGATGGACAGAATTTGCAGAAATGTTAGAATACATATCCTACCAATAATCCCATATCATCAAGGTAACGAGGAGCTTGACTGGGTCTGCCATGGGTTTATTGGGGGCCTTTGCTTCCAACCATGATGCTAGCTGACGGGGTTCTCTGAGCCATCCCAGAGGACTTACAGCTCTGCCTGGACAAGAGGCCAGTAAACGGCCTCTTCCCTTTTGGCAGAAGAGTGTGGGGCGTAGCAGGAAGCCCAAGGAGAAAGCCTGCTAGACCAGCCTCCTCTGGAGGCTTCCCGCGTCTTACCTCCTTCCACGTCCGGGTGCTGTTGGCCTTGCGGCTGCTGTCCACTGCGGCCTGATACTCACCAAGGTGGACCAAGGTGGAAGCCAGGCAGGCAAAGTTAGAAACACTGCTATACAGCAGCTTGGCAGCCTCATACATCCCCTCCTTGTAACAGCGGTCTCCCACCTGTGGACGATCGGGGAGCTCTGCTGAGACCCTGCACCTGGAGAGACCTCCCCAGAGGGAGAGGGGAGAGGGGAGAGCGGAGACGGACAGATCTTCCATCCGCCGGTCCACTCCCCTCCTCAAGGTGAGGATCTGGCTCCTTCTTCCTGAGAAAACAGAAGCCACCAGCAGGGTGCATCCATAACACGGGTGCTGGGGCTGCCTCACCTCTCTGTGGCCTCAAGGCCAAGCCACAGGTGCACGTGACTTTTTCTGTTTCCTGTGATCAGTTCCACCTCTGCCCAAACCACTCCTTACAAGCACACAACACAGCAAGGCCCAGTCGTTCCCATTCCCACCTTCCCTTTGGGCACACATCTCAGGGCAGGCGCCCACCTATGTAGAGCAGCTGTCCCTGTGCCTTCCCTCTCTTTGAGATCTGCTCCACTGCTCCCCAGACGGGTGCCAAGGTGGTGCCAGCCTCTCTCCATCCCCACTCCCCCCTGCTGTGGGGCTTTGGGGTGCCCCAACCTCCACGTCTGGGTCATTCCCTCTGACCCTACACCCCCATTGCCAAACTCCCCGACATGGTCATGGCTGTGGCCTGTGCACTCCAACATCCTGCTAATGTGCACCCTGAGAGGCAGCAGTGACGGCTCAAGTTAACCGGGTTCCTGCCACTCATGTGGGACCTGGGTTCTGTTTCTGTCTCCAGTCCAGCCCACCCCAGCACACTGTGGAGAGTGAACCGGTGGATGGCCAAGGTGTCTCTCTCTGCCTCTCAGATAAATATAAATTTAAGAATAAAAAAGAGACTTTCTTAAGGAAAAACACTCAGGTTTTACGTTAAATTATTTTCTCTAGAATTTTATTACATGATAAATTTTTAACCTCTTTTTTAAAAATTAAATATTTATTTATTTGGAAGGCAGAGTTACAGAGAGACGGATAGACAGAGAAAGAGAGAGAGAGAGAGAGAGAGAGAGAGAGAGAGAGAGAGATATCTTCCATCTGCTGGTTCACTCCCCAAATGGCTGCAACTACCAGAGCTAGGCTGATCTGAAGCCAGGAGCCAGGGGCTTCTTCCAGGTCTCCCACATGGGTATGAGGCCCAGGTACTTGGGCCATCCTCTGCTGCTTTTCCAGGCACATTAGCAGGGAGCTGGATCAGAAGTGGAGCAGTCGGGACTCGAACTGGTGCCCATATGAGATGCTGGCACTGCAGGTGGCAGCTTTACCTGCTACGCCACAGTGCTGGTCCCAAGTTTTAACTTCTTTCTAAACTTTAACCTAATTAATTGGAATTTATTTTGAAATTAAAAGTTCAAAGTCTACTTCTACGTTATTAATTTCAATGCAGTGTTCATTCTTTCAAAAAGAACACACCTGGGGCCAACATTGTAGTGCAGCAGGCTAAGCCATCCCTTGTGATGTCGGCATCCCATATTGGAGTATGCTTTTTTAAGATTTATTTATTTATTTGGAAGGTAGAGTGACACAGAGAGAGGGAAAGACAGAGAGAGAGAGAAGAAGCTTCCATCTGCTGGTTCTCTCCCCAAATGGCTGCAACAGTCGGGCTGAGCCAAGCTGATGCCAGCAGCCTAGAACACCATCTGAGTCTCCCACTTGTGTGACAGGGGTCCAAGTACTTGGGCCATCTTCCACTGCCTTTCAAGGTGCATTAGCAAGAAATTAGATTGGGAGTGGAACAGCTGGGAATCCAACCAGCACTGTTACAGGATGCCAACATCACAGGCGGTAGCTTAACTCACACATGCTGGCCACAATGCTGGCCTCAAACTCAAGGCATTTATACATATACATGTGTGTATGTGTGTGTTTGCGTGTACACAGCTGAAATCATTCCAGAGTTAGAAGGCATCCTACTGTCCCTGTACCTCTTCTTATTTATTACTTTTTCCAAGAGTAACATTTTAACTGCATGGCAGGCTTTATAATTGTTTAGACCTTTCTTTTATTTAAAAAAATTGGAGGTGGGGTTAGGATTTGTTTAAACATTTTGGTTTCTTTTTATTTATTTGAAAGTTATGGAGTTACAAAGGGGGGGGGGTGTCTTCCATCCGCTGGTTCACTTCCCAGCTGGCTACAATGGCCAGAGCTGCACCAATCCGAAGCCAGGACCCAGGAGCTTCTTCCAGGTCTCCCACGTGGGTGCAGGGGGCCAAGGACTTGGGCCATCTTCTACCGCTTTCCCAGCCCATAGTAGAGAGCTGGATTGGAAGTGGAGCAGCCGGGACTCGAACCAGTGCCCATATGGGATGCCAGCGCTTTAGGCCAGGGTGTTAATCTGCTGTGCCAGTGTCGGCCCCACATTTGGTTTCTCTACAGTATAAAATGCAATGGGGTAAATCACTGGGTAGGACACTGCATCCTAGGTTGGAGTGCCTTGGATACAGTCTCACCTCTGCTTCCTACCCAGCTTCCTGCTAGTACTTCCAGAAGGCAGCACATGACGGAGTTCCTGGCTCCTGGCTTTGGCCTGGCCCAGCTCTGGTTATTAGAGACATTTGGGGAGTGAACTGAGAGATGGAAGAATTCTTTCTCTCTCCCTCTGCCTTTCTAATACATAAATACACCTTGAACAGCAACAAGAAGGGTCAGTGTTGTAGGCTAAGCCCCCAGTTGCAATGCCAGCATCCCAAATCAGAGTACAGGTTCAAGTCCCAGCTGCTCCACTTCTGATCCAACTCCCTGCTATGGCCTGGGAAAGCAGCAGCAAATGGCCCAAGTGCTTGGGACCCTGCACGCACATGGGAGATCCAGATGGAATTTCAGGCTCCTTCTACCTGGCTAATCATGTAATCATTTGGGGAGTGAAACAGATGGAAAATTGATTCTCTCTCTCTGTCATTATGCCTTTCAAATAAGTAATCTTCAAGAAAAAAAAAAGTTCATGGAAAATGGAATTAGGGAGCTGGCGCTGTGGAACAGTGGGTTAACATCCTGGCCTGAAGCGCCAGCATTCCATACGGGTGCCAGTTCGAGACCCGGCTGCTCCACTTCCAATCCTGCTCTCTGCTGTGGACTGGGAGGTGAGTGAAAGATGGCTCAAGTCCTTGGGCCCCTGCACCTATGTGGGAGACTCAGAAGAAGCTCCTGGCTCCAGATTGGCGAATCTCCGACTGTCGCGGCCAATTGGTAAGTGAACCATTGGATGGAAGACCTCTCTCTCTCTTTGCCTCTCCTCTCTCTGTGTAACTCTGACTTTCGAATAAGTAAATAAATCTTTAAAAAAAAAAAAAGAAAATGGAATTAAAGGTTTATTTAAAAAACAAAACAAAAAAACCTGGGGCCGGTGCTGTGGCATAGTAGGTTAAGCTTCTGCCTGCAGCACCAGCATCCTATATGGGTGCCAGTTCATGTACCAGCTGCTCCACTTCCAATCCAGCTCTCTGCTAAGGCCTGGGAAAGCAGTGGAAGATGGCCCAAGTCCTTGGGCCCCTGCACCCATGTGGCAGATCCGGAAGAAGCTCCTGGTTCCTGGCTTCGGATCTGCCCAACTCCAGCCACTGCGTGAACTAGCAGATAGAAGACTTCTCTGTCTCTGTCTCTCTCTCTCTGTAACTCTGCCTCAAATAATAAAATCTTTAAATAAAACAAAACAAAAACCTTAAGTGCAGTATCTTTCAACAGGTACCAAGGGCAAGTCAAAGTCCATGGCTTTTAATTTATATACCAACAGGAGCAACAAGTTTCTTAATTTCACATGTGGCTTGTTTCTCACTCTCACGAATCTGCACAGCTTTAAGGAGCATTCCTGGCCTACACCTGTGTCAGTCGCGGTTCCGGGGACACAGCTCACCTGCTGGATGTTGGCATTGTTGGGTCCATTAACACAATCTTCTAGCTCAGACAGACGGCTGGTTTTAGCCAAGGCAAAAATAAGCTCCGTCTCTACATACGACTCATGGCTCCTCTTCCTGGCCATCTGCAGGAATTTAACTAGATCTTCCCAGTTGTCTAGACGGAAGACAAAGACACTGGTCATTTTCAACAATCCCTCCCATCCCACTCCCACCCTGGAGCCCACCCACACACAGCTCACTGAGAGCCCGCCTCAGGTCCTGCCCTCTAGCCCTGACCCAGGAGGGAGAAGGGGAAGGGGCAGAGCCACACAGGAAGCTCCCAGGGACGGGAGCCACCGAGTCCCCAAGCAAAGGCTTCTTCTGGGGACAAGAGAGGCTGGTGCCACAGCGACAGAAACGCCAGCAGATGATTCCCGGGACGCTTCGGGGTAAGTCAGGAACTTTACAATTACTACAGCAGTGCTGTCGGTCATGCTTAAGCTGCCTCGCCTTGCGCGGGCGGGTGAGACAGACGCAGAGCTAGTGTCACTGACAGGATGACACTACCTCGAGTCTCTTGGAAAACGTTCACTGGGCTGTGCCCTCTGAAGTCACAGGCTCCTGGGAATCCCCCTGCCTTAGCCAGGTTTCACACGGGCGGGAAGTGGCGCCCCCTGGCGAGCAGATCTACTTACTGCTCCTGCTGGCTGCCTGGACGACCTCCAGGTAGGAAGAAGGGTCATCTGCTCGGATAAAGGAGTCAATAGCTTCCTTCACCAGTTCTTTGTGGAGCTGGGCACGGGCCAGCTGACTCCACACGGCAGGCTCATTGCACTTCTCTGCAAACTCATACGCGCGGTCCAGGTTGCCAATATGCTCGATCAGGACCTGGGGGTCAAAAAGAGGACCCGCGGTCTCCAACACGCGCACCCGTCTCTACCTGGTTCCTTACGCTGCCTCAAATGGCAGGACCATTTTCAATTCTGCCCTCAGCAATGATGAACTTAGTATTTCTCAGATGGAAGAGCTGAGGGAGAGACCAGAGCTGCTGTGTGGGGAGACCAAGGGCAAATGGCCAGGCTTGGCTTCCCGGGCTGAGGGCAGAGCCCAGAGCAGCCTCCTATCTCAGGAAGAGAGGCAGCACGACAGGGCACTGGCTGCCAGCAGGCTCAGGGGAGTGCTGGTGTGAGAGCCACAGTGGGCAAAAACACACCTGCCAACCAGCCTGGAGGCCGGATCTGTGGCACGGGCCGCCGCCACGTGGCAGGGTGGTCCCTCTCAGAGCAAGGCCGTGGCCCACACGTGCACCCGACAGAAAGGCTTGTAGATGGAGGTTTCACAAGCATGCACAGAAACAGCACAGGAGGACATAAAGGTAGGACAGCAATTGAAGTGATCCATCCTGTGGTTCACACCCATTTGGAAATAAAGCCGGCAGGGGCTCAGACTGGAAAGAAGGGAGCTGGCTTAAGGGAAAAGAGTACCTGGGGAATGGGAAGGCGGGCAGGGGCCTGGAAGGATTGCTCTGGGTGCTCAACCACTGAGCAGACGCTGCTATTGGGGGCGTCCTGGTGGGAGTGTGTGTGGAGGAGTCGAAGGTGCACATGAGGATAAGGCAGGGCACCCCCAAATGCCCCAGTGGGGCCAAAGATGTGACCTTTTTGCTAGGTGCCCGCAGAGCTGCTGAGGAGAGAGGTGCTACCACCAGCAAATGGGAAGGGGCGGAGAAGAGCCCAAGAACTGAGAGGCACTGGAGGACTTGGGGTTCTGACACCGCCCCCCACCTCCCCACCCCCAGCAGTGAGCCACACTCCAGGAGGCGGCTGGCTGGGGTCCCACAAGACCACTGGTGGCCAGCCCACCTGGATGGCGGAGGCATTCACGTCAAACTTGCGGAAGATAGCGAAGGCCTCTTCGTAGAGCCCACTGCTCACAGCGATGCTGGCAATGTCTGGGGCGTCGTAGTTGTCCAGGCGACTGATATAGTCCATGACCCGCGTGCGGTCCGCCTTGACGGCGGTCAGGATCAGTAGGTTCTGGAGGTTCCTGGGGAGAGGGGGAAAGGGGGGAAGGGCACGAAGGCTGCTCACAACACATCCCCGGCAAGCCAGGAAGTTTAAACACCAGCAGTTGACATGCATAGAGGGACAGGCAGCGGGAACAGGGTGTCTGTGACCATCCCCACGTCCCGGCTCCTGCCATCCTCACTGTGCCTTTCCCAGGTCTTAGCAGTTCTTGTCAGTTTTGCTGTATATCCTGTACCCCTGTGCAATGTACATTGTGTTTCACATTTTTAAACTTTCCCTTTCATTAATCACACTGGATGCATTCTTACAAAACTTCTTTTCCTTATTCAGAAGCATGGGGATGGGAAAAGAACAAGACAAGACACAATTTATTAAGACTCTAAAAAAGAAATAGCAGCTAGCCAGTGCTGTGGCGCAGGTTAAAGCCCTGGCCTGCAGTGCCAGCATCCCATATGGGCACCAGTTCGATTTCTGGCTGCTCTGCTTCCAACCCAGATCCCTGCTAATAGCTTGGGAAAGCAACAGAAAATGGTCCAAGTGCTTGGGTCCCTGCACCCACGTGGAAGACCTGGAAGATGCTCCTGGTTCCAGATCTGCCCAGCTTCGGCCATTGCGGCCATTTGGAGAGTGAACCAGTGGACAAAGAGCCCTCTCTCTGCCTCTCCCTACCTGTAACCCCTACCTGTAACTCTGTCTTGAAAAAGTCTTAAAAAAATAAAAGAGAAATAACCACACAACCATTATCAATTGACTCGGAAAAGCATCTGACAAAAATCTAATATCCATTAATGATAAAAATCTCTCTACTAGAAGGATGCTTCCTGGATCTGACGCTGATGTCACCTAAGGCCTACAGTCAACATCATGGTAAAGATGGGAGGTGTGACCCTCTTCCCTAGGGTAGCACTGTAGAGTCAAAATCAAAATGGAGAGAGTGTGGCTAAAAAATAATTGCAGATCTCTTGCTTCTGTACATTTTAGCTTTGCTTGCTAACGGCTAAGGGTGTATCTTGTGAAACTATGTGGGCCCAAATTCCCAGGAACTCAGTTGACAGAAATGTGTCCTTCACTGTTATCTTGGATCTGTTATTGGGTTTGTTATTGTTGTTAACTGTTATCTTATAACCATATCTTGGACCTGGATCTGTTACTGGGTTTGTTATTGTTATCTTACAACCATATTCTGTGTTTTTTTTTTTTTTTAATTATTCACTGCATACCAGGGGCCTGGTTTGAAATTGAGAGCCCTAGTAGACAGAATACTATAAAAAACTGTGTAACTCGCTGTCGGGCGTCACACTCTGGTAAAGAGTGTCAGGTCCCTGTCGGTTCCCAGTCCCAATTGGTTGCCTCGACTTTTTTTTTTTTTTTTTTTGACAGGCAGAGTTAGACAGTGAGAGAGAAGATAGAGAGAAAGGTCTTCCTTCTGTTGGTTCGCTCCCCTAATGGCCGCTACGGCCAGCACCCTGCGCTGATTTGAAGCCAGGAGCCAGGTGCTTCCTCCTGGTCTCCTATGTGGGTGCAGGGCCCAAGCACTTGGGCCATCCTCCACTGCCCTCTTGGGCCACAGCAGAGAGCTGGACCAGAAGAGGAGCAACTGGGACAGAATCCGGCACCCCAACCAGGACTAGAACCCGGGGTGCCGGCGCTGCAGGTGGAGGATTAGCCTAGTGTGCCGCGGCGCTGGCCTTGACTCTCATTTTCAATAAAATTCATGTGTGACTGTCACTGGTTTTTGTAATATTCCATTTTAGCTGACGAGTGGATGCAATAGCACTTAAGAGAGGATGTCCACTCAGGGCTCCAAGCAAGGCAAGGCAAGGGAACAAAAGGCATCCAGGTTAGGAAGAAACAAAACTGTCCCAAAGTGACTCAAACAATTTCAAGGAACCTACCTACAAAGCAAATCCTAGACTAGGCGAGTTTAAGCAAGGTTGCAGAATCAAAGGTCAACATACAAGACTCAACGTGCTTCATGTACCAGCATTATTTAAGAACATATGGCCAAGAAAGATCGATGTACAACAGCTCCAAAGATGTTAATGCTTAGGAATAAATGTAATAAAATACAAATGTATTTTATTATCCCTGAAACTGTAATTGCTGATGGAAGAAATCAAAGATCTAAGTAAATGCAGAAACACATCACCTTTTAATATTACAAAGGCATAAACTCTCTCTAAATTGGCCCACAGATTTCATGCATTTCAAATAAAAAAATCTCTGAAATTGTCTTGTAGATACAGATAAGCTAATTCTAAAAACTGTAAAAGAAGGCAAAAGAACCAGAATCACTAAAACAATTTTGAAAAAGAATAAAGTTAGAGGAATCATACTACTAGGCCAATTTTTTTTAAAAAAAAGATTTATTTATTTATTTGAAAGTCAGAGTTACACAGAGAGAGGAGAGGTGCAGAGAGAGAGAGAGGGAGAGAGAGAGAGGGAGAGAGAGGTCTTCCATCCACTGGTTCACTCCCCAATTGGCTGCAACTGATGGAACAAGGACATTCTCCCTCATTGCCCAAAAGAGATAAATATTGGAATGTATTCCTTGACCTTGAATCTCAATTCAGTCTCACACCCCATTGCCTTCATATCCCACCCTCTACAGAGCCACCTGAAAGACCAGTTGCTCCGAGCACTTGAAAGACCAATTCCAGGAATTCCCCTTTGCCTGCTGCCCCCTACCCCACCCCCATCCCCAGTCCTCCACATGTTCCATCATTGTGCACGTGGGGAGTTGGTCACCCACCTCTACGGATTTATTTTCTCTGAATAAATTCGGCCTGGCTGTAATTTCATACACTATCTCCTCTCTATTCTGCACCTCTTTTCCTAACAATTTGGTGCCCCGTGTGAGGAGGCACCAATCTGCAACTCTTTTCCTAACAGCAATGGCCAGAGCTGCGCTATCTGAAGCCAGGAGCTTCTTCCGGGTCTCCCATGTGGGTGCAGGGGCCCAAGGACTTGGGCCATCTTCTGCTTTCCCAGGTGATAACAGAGAGCTGGATGGGAAGTGGGGCAGCCAGGTCTTGAACTGGCGTCCACATGGGTTGCCGGTATTTCAGGTTGCAGATTTACCGGCTAGGCCACAGTGCTAGCCCTGCCAATTTTTTTTAATTAAATTAAAAAATTCATTTGAGGGGCCAACACTCTGGTGTAGTAGTTAAACCTCTGCCTGCAGTGCTGGCATCTGGGTGCTGATTCAAGTCTCTACTTCCGATCCAGCTCAATGCTGATGGCCTGGGAAAGCAGTGGAAGATGGCCCAAGTGCTTGGGCCCCTGTATCCCAGTGGGAGGCCCAGAAAAATTCCTGGTTCCTGACTTTGGCTTGGTCCAGCTCCGGCCATTGTGGCCATTTGTGGGGGTGAACCAGTGGATGAAAGACCACCCTCTCTGTAACTATCCATCTCAAGTAAGTAAGTAAATCCTTTAAAAGAAAATTTGAGAGGCAGATAGAGAGAGCTCCCCAGGTTCTGGCAGGGGAGCCTCCCCTAGGTGCCTGTCTAATGGATTTATTTATTGGTGGTTCACTGTCTCATCTGCTAGTTCCCTCCCCAAATGTCCGCAATGGTGTGAACTAGCCAAAGCCAGAATCCAGGAACTCACTCCAGGTCTCCCATTCGGGTGGCAGGAAGCCAATCACTCGAGCCATCAATGCTGCCTCCCAGGGTCTGCATTAGCAGGAAGCAGGAGCAAAGGGCTGCAGCTGGGAACTGGACCCCAGTACTGCTCTGCTATGAGATGCAGGCCTCTTAACCAGGAGGTTGGCCAATTTTTGACGACGACACAAATGTGGCTGAATGGAGAAAGGGCAGTATTTCTACAAACAATGCTGCAACAACTGTGTTCGCTAGGGAGCTAGAACTTAGCTTATGTGCGTGTGAGGGGGCCTGAGAAAAACAGCAGCTGCAAAAGCTCACCTTGGAAGCAGCCCAGGATTTTACACTGCAAAATTCTGCCCAGACTCTGATATCTTTAGAGGTGGTCTCAGCCCTTCCCCCACGGGAAGCTCTCCAAGAGAGTCCTCTCTAAGTGGGAAATTCAGCCTCATAACATTGAGCAATAAATCCATTAGACAGGCACCTAGGGGAGGCTCCCCTGCCAGAACCTGGGGAGAAATTTTTCCCAATTGACACTCAGCAAACTCTTTGTCCTGGAGGAGGAGAAAGAGGAGGAGGGGCCGGCGCTGTGGCTCACGCGGCTAATCCTCCACCTTGCGGCGCTGGCACACCGGGTTCTAGTCTCGGTCGGGGTGCCGGATTCTGTCCCGGTTGCCCCTCTTCCAGGCCAGCTCTCTGCTGTGGCCAGGGAGTGCAGTGGAGGATGGCCCAGGTGCTTGGGCCCTGCACCCCATGGGAGACCAGGAAAAGCACCTGGCTCCTGCCATCGGATCAGCGTGGTGCGCCGGCCACGGCGGCCATTGGAGGGTGAACCAACGGCAAAGGAAGACCTTTCTCTCTGTCTCTCTCTCACTGTCCACTCTGCCTGTCAAAAAAAGAAAAAAAAAAAAAAGAAAGAGGAGGAGGAGGAGGAGTTGTTGGAGGAGGGGAAGGAGAAACTGGACCCCTTTCCCTTTTAAGCCACAGTCTGAATACAGACAGCCCATGCTCAGCCTGGCCTGCCAGGTGTATTCTCTCCACTTAATGACGTGACCTTGCCCTCCCTAGTGTGAGGGACTAGGCACTCTCTCTGGGATTCTGTCCCATCCATTCTGACAGATGCCCTACCCCCAATAAACCTGGCTACCTTGCTTATCACTGGCTTTTTGTCTCATGCCTGAAACCCACTCATCTCCGCTAAAACAGCTGGACACCCAAACGCAGAAAAGAGGAGCCTCACCCCAAATTTGACAACGAATCTTTGGATGCTGGGTCACAGATTTAAATGTAAAATAAAACTATAAAACTTGTAGGAGGAAACATATGAGAAGATCTTTGTGATCTGGGATTAGGCAAAGGATTCTTAGACTTAATACCAAAGCATAATCCATAAAAGAAGTTTATGAGGCCAGCACCG